CGATTGCTGGATTTACATATGCTGGGGACTGGGGAAAAGTGCCAGGTTCCGAAATAAACTTCTAGGTCTGAAGCACCCTAAAACTAAGTTTTGCAATTCAAATTAGGGCTGGACGATATAGCAAAAATGCAATCTTAATGAATTTTTTTCCATACTGAATGATAACGATATATGTTTTGAAATCAGTTGTTAATGCTTCCAGATTTAAAAGAGTACCCCAACAATGACTGAAGCCACAAAAATTCTTTAAATGGCATAACATTTTTAGCCGATACTTTTTATTCTCTATATCAATACACTTTCGATACCTATTGTTGCACATATCTGCAGGTTGATTGGCTATTGAATCAATATAGAGTAAAAAAGTCCAGAGCTTATCACTATTATTGACATAAATTTTATCATAATTCGATTTAATATCTTCTATCGGCCCAGTCCTAATTCAAAAGTTTTGTTCTCTCTTTATAGAGAATTTTGGCTACAATGATTACTTTTGTTGTTTGTTTGTTCATTTGTAGCAACTTGGGTGCATAAAATTTATATAAAAAACTGTTTTTTTTATGACAATCATGAAACCATGTTGGCTCAAAATATAATAATGAGCAAAACAATGATGTTCAACATTGATAGAGATGAGAAAAATTTAATATTTTGAAATCAAAAACAAATTATAAAATTTTACAGCACTTTGTAACAATTTTTCTTTTACCTAATCACTTCCATTTTTTTTTTTTGTATGAAGTTTTTTATTAATTTATTTTTTTTATTTTATGAATTTAAACTGTCCAATTCCATCATTTTTTTCACACAACACTTCCTCCTGTAGTAAACTTTGACATTCTAGAGCAGGGGTCACCAATCTCTTTTTAAGCTAAAATCTGCAGAACACCGGAACTCCAACAACAATTTGGTGATCCCTGTTCTAGAGGTATGTGGTAAATATTGAATAAGTGAACAAGTCAGCAATTTCACACACAGTGTAACACAGAAAATACCTGTTTTTCATGTCTTCTCAGGTAAATAAGAATTCAGTCCTCCATTTCCTAACATCTGTTGTAAGAAAAAGTCTAGACATGAAACAGAATCTTTCATCATTACTTCAACTATTGTTGATACTGATACTAACTACACTCTGAACAAATAGATAAGATTTCTTCATTTGAAAAAAATTAATTGTCCTAAGAATTAACTGTGGAAACCAAATTCAATTTATGTGAAGTGTGAACAACTCAAGTGAGTTTAGGGTCTCATTTGTCTAAAAAACACAGTATCAGATTAACACAAGGGCATTTAAGCAAGTCAACTCAAGACATTTGTCACTTCATGCACCTTAAAACAATTAGATTATTCTTGGATTGAAAAGCACAGTCCATCAATATTCCTGTTGCTGTGCAAGAATGAACAATCTAACAACCGCCAAGTGGCAAATGAGTGTAAAATATTGGTGTTGGTGATTATATGCAGCAGTATTATTCAACAGTTGGCTGGAACATCTTTAATAATTCTAACAATGCCTAAGAGTGTGATGCATCTTATATAATGACAAAATCACAAACACTGCAAAATATATTGCAACACTGCAATTACATAAATACGTAATCTGCTGCACAGCACTGTGGTCTTTTTTTTTATTTGAGCAGCTCATGATAACAGTATTTTTAGTGTTTTTGGAATGGCCTGGGTGGCAGTAAACTCAGCTAAATCTCTGCAAGTTTAACTCAGTTATAATGTGCATTTGCAACTGCGCCAAACCTCTTGGCAAGTGTGTAACAAGGTTTATAAATCTGTTGTCAAAATAAATAAGAGAAGCATTTCAGAAGATAAGTTTCACCACAACACTTAGAAACAAAAAAATAACAACAACAACCAGCATTGCTTTTTGGAATTTTACATTTAAATGTAATAATAATAATAATAATAATATTTTTTATTATTTTTATTATTATTATTATTATTGTTGTTGTTGTTATATTATTATTATTATTATTATTATTATTATTATTATTATTATTATTATTATTATATGTTTATTTATTATTATTATTATTATTATTATTATTATTAATATGATTATTAGTAGTAGTAGTAGTAGTAGTAGTAGTAGTAGTAGTAGTAGTAGTAGAAGTAGTAGAAGTAGTAGTAGTATTGTTATTCCCAGTGTTGTGTTGCGGCTAGAAGGGCATCCGCTGCGTAAAACATATGCTGGATAAATTAGCGGTTCATTCCGCTGTGGTGACCCCTGATTAATAATTGGACTAAGCCGGAAAAAAAATGAATAAATGAATTATTATTATTATTGTTGTTGTTGTTGTTATTATTATCATTATTATTATTATGAATGCTGTTTAATAGAAATACAATGCAAACAGATGTATTTCCATCATTTGTTCTGCCTTTTTTATGAACACAGTTTCAATGCTTTTCATAAAAAAAAAAAAAATTCTCAAGTCACTGGCCATTGGCACGCTTGACAAAATATTATTTTTTGGCTCAGTGAACACACATACTGTATATAGACTTTTCATATTCTACAGCAAACAAGTAAAAACTGACCAATGTGCAGTAAAACAATGACCAATAAACTATTCAAAACAAGGATCAAATTTCATATTGCATGACAACGACTAATTAACACAAATGGTGATTTTGGAAATAATACATCAAATTAATTTCAAAATAATTCAAAATTTGATTAAAACTGAAGATAATGTGTTGCAATGTCTCTTTTTAACATTTTAAACATAAACTGTATTTACACTACTCCATTATTATGCCTTACTTTATGGATTGAAAACAGAGGGCATTGAGCTTGACACCACATCATACTGCAGATATTCACAGCAGGATCGTACATAATTTTGCATGCTTAAAATGTAGTGTGACTCTGCATGTAGGTCATCCACCACTTCCGGCTCTAATGACTTTAAAATGCATCTCTAATATCATTAAAATAACACACAAATGTAACAACAACGTCTATGTGATCATTCTCAACTAGAGTTTAAACTGAAATCCACTTTGCAATACCTAATCGGTTAAAATAAAATCGATTTGATAGATTTGGTAAACTTGACACTTTAGACTCATAAAACTCTCTACAATCAGAGTAAGTGTTTCGTCAGTGTTCCACAAGGATCCCTTGGCACAGGGTGAGTCTCAGGATTGGCTGACTGTCAGCCATCCAATGCACCAGTGATCAATTATTCAACAGAACTGCATGTTTTTGCCTCTCTCGACACTTAGGAATGGCTTTGCTATGCTGTTTATCACCGTCTTTGGCGCCTTGGCTGAAACAAAGGAACTCAATAAGCCACTAAAAGAGGATCTACAGTGAATAAAACACATTAATACCATAAATACTACCTAAACCTTCACCATAAAAGAAACATGCACCCCAGACAGTAAGAGAGAAGAGCGGTCTTTGAACTAGCAGACTTGGCTGTCTGACCTAGTTAGCATATGAACACCCCCACAAGCAGACTGTACCACAGTCAGAAACACGGGGGCAACACAGGCCCCAGAAGAGCTTAACACCACACTTTAGATGTATTTTTGGCTATAAAATACCCTTAGTGCAAGTGCTTATTTCTTATCTTTGCATATGACACATTCACAAATCCTTGACAGAGGCCTAAAATCAGTATTGGAAGTAATGTTTTTTTCCCTAGTTGGAGCTGAAGTCTTTGATTTGCACACAATGTCCCCAAATTTCAAGTGAAGCGTTTTATTATAGGGTTGTGCTGCCTAATCTGAATGTGGAGAGAACATAATTAGCCACCTTGCTCTAAAGATGGGATTATGGATGCCCTATAGATGTGGTATTTTTTTTACCCCATTATATATTTATATATATATATATATATATATATATATATATATATATATATATATATATATATATATATATATATATATATATGCTTTCATTTTTATTAATATTATAATTGCTTTTATTGTTTTAAAACTTTATTTATTTGTTTAATTGTTTTATCTCAAATGTTTAACCCTTTATTTTAATAACAATTTTCGATTATATTAAACCCCTTTATTTTTATACTTATTTTGAAATGTTATATTTGTTTTAGAACATTTCCACAGACATTTACATAGTTGAACTTTTCTTGTTTTCTACTTTCCACTTTGTATTATTCTTACAAAAATTCATTTATGTATACTAATGTTTCAATATTTATTAATTTTTTAATTGTACATTTCTTTTATGCCATTTCTACAAAGTGTCCAGACTTGATCTATTTTTTAGATGAAATTTTGCAATATTAAAAATTTTTTTTACATTTGTTATGCCTTTTCTCCAAACATTTCTTATATACAAATGTATATTTTATACATGATTATAATATATTAACAAATATGTATTTATTATGAAATCAGAATTATTAAACCTCTTTGAAATTTATTTTCTTTTTTAAATATTTCTAAAATTATGTTTAACAAAGCAAAAAAAAAATTGCAGTATGTCTGATAATATTTTTCTTTTTTTCTTCTGGAGAAAGTCTTATTTGTTTTATTTTAGCTAGAATAAAGGCAGTTAATATAATTAGCCCCTATAAGCTATATATTTTTTAATATTCTACAAAAGAAACCATCATTATACAATAACTTGCCTCATTACCCTAACCTGCCTAGTTACCCTAATTAACCTTGTTAAGCCTTTAAATGTCACTTCAAGCTGTATAGAAGTGTCTTGAAAAATATTTAGAAAAATATTATGTGCTGTCATCATGGCAAAGATAAAATAAATCAGTTATTAGAAATGAGTATTAAAACTATTATGTTTACAAATGTGTTGGAAAAAATCTTCTCTCGGTTAAACAGAAATTGGGGGGGGGGGGGGGGGAAACAGGGGCCTTATAATTCAGGGGGTTTAATAATACTCTAGATGTATTTTTGTTCAATATTTCCTTTTTCACTATTATTTCATATGTATTTTATTTACTTGCTAAAAGATACATAAATATCCACACAGTAGTGAAACTCACCCTCTGAAGCTGAAGCCCCTGGAGGCTGAGGCCCTACAGGTGTTGGTGGCACAGGTCTTGGCCAGGGCTTTCCTGAAGTAAGGCCTGTCCTCACGACCCCAACATACTCCACAAAGGTGCCAGGGAAGTTGCCCTTCTCTTTAGTGCGTTCGTTGGTTCCATGCAGCCAGCCTTTGGGGCACTTTTCATCGCCTTCCTGATACTCAGATGCCAGCAGTGCCATCTTACTGACGGTGAGCAGATCACCAGGCTGCAGAGAGATATCGTCGCCCCGCTCCTGTTTGTACTCGAACAGTGCACGGTACTGGAAAAAACTGTCAGAGCTCATGATTTACTTTTCACATGAGCGCTCTGGTGGCTTTTCTGGAGTTGATGCTTGTTTAAAACTGACCTGGTTTAAAATCCTGAGTGCTAACTCACTTGAACAGTCCTTGGGTTAAATCCTGAGAGCTCATCGACATTCAGCTTGAGTTTCTTGTAAGGGTTAAAACTCCAACAGTACCATGTGTTGGGCTGTTATTGCGCAGTTCTAAATTTAGTCTATTAAGAAAAAGTAAAAACTTTTTTGGAATTAGTTACAAACAGGGTCAGAGAATGCAAAATTCAGCCCCATGGGGAGAACAGGAGAAACAGACCGATTGGGTGGCGGGTGCTGGAGAGTGGCAGCATTAATTTGGGGACACAGTGACCTGGAATCGGGACGCTGGGCTTTTTCTGCAGCGTTGGCACTAGTCCACATAGAAAAATGTACCATTTATTGAAGTAACCTCTGAGTTCATTTGCAGGTGTGGTCAGAAAGATGACATTTTCAGTCTATATATAAAATGAGAGAGCAAGAGCCTTGGACATCTTCTTGATAAACACCTCAAAACCTGAAAGCATTCATTTAAATAGTCAGTTTTACAAATTCTAACTCAAACCAATATAACAGCATTAAAAGAGCAACTTTTGTATTCCAATTTACAGCCTATATATAAAAAAATCTCTGCATTGTTAGAATGCAGCTACTATGCAAACCATGCATACATAGCATAACTCTGTGTGTTTACCAGTCGTAGAGTAACACAATGAAAACTGACATGTAAAAATGACATGTCTGACTTGCAGCGCGTGATTGGGACACTGCCAACTTGTGTACAGCGTGCAGAAACTCGACTCGCGTGATACTATAACTTACCTCCTGTCGCACTTCCTCAAACCGCCCGAAACAAAGGATGCGCGTAGTCCAAAACAAGAGCAAGGAGCGAGCATTTTACGGTCTTTTTAATAAAAACGTGCGTTTAAAATATATTCCCCCAAACAACCTGCGTGGCTGAGTCAGACATCCAGCCAGACTAGTGCTGTAGTACGGTTCAGCCCGAGTGACGTCAGATACCACGCCTCCTCTGTCTGCTTGTCACGCCGTGGGATAAAGTTGGGAAGTCGGGATGTCCTCATGGAGCGGTCAGGATGTGAAGAACGCAATGCAGCGTGAAAATGTTGCGTCGTACTTTTCATCTCGCCACGCAGTTATATAATACACGTCTGACGTGCGCAGATCACGTTAAAGGCACGCATCAGCATAATGCTTTCTCTAGAATAGTTTTTTTTAAACCTTTTATCCAATATTATTTCATTTAAATGTTGCAATATTTTAGGAAAAACGTTATACGTATCAAATGGGTAAGAGCTAGTTAGGACATGTTTAAGACAAACTGCATGGATTATTCAAGATGCATTGATAAGTTATATTTACTCTTACTGCAAATCAGTGTAAATGTTGGCATTGAACATTTGACATTCAATGCAATTTATTTCAAATGAAAAGAAAAAAAAAACAAATCTAAATGATCTAAAGTCATTCTATAGGAAAACAATAAAACTAGAAAATATAAATGCTTAGGGAATAACCATCGTTTGGTAACACTTTAAGTAATTCACAACATTTACTATAGGCTTATTACCTGCCTATTATTAAGATATTAACCTGTTATTGGCACTTAAAAATTATGATCTTAATCTTAATTGTAATCGTACTCGTACTACCAGAACTACTACTGTTATTGACTGAAATATGCAGATAATTATTAATTTTAAATTAATAATTAAAAAAATAGCTATTGGGCTAAAAGTCAATGATTAGCTAGGAATGGCATGTGGTGTACATTAAAATAAACATGTGTGTGCATTACTCCAGTATTTTGTAATTGTGTTAACATTTTATAAACATGACAACCCAACATCAATGTATGCATCTCTAGTGAGATCATCTGTGAGTTAGCCAGTTACAATGGACCTCAACTCAGTGAAAAGCATTTACACATCTCTCAAACTTTCAGAATGTTCATTACTTTTTCTAACAGTAAAAACATTGCCAATCTTCGCAATCTTAAAACTTTAAAACTTAAACATTCATTCATTTTCTTTTCGGCTTAGTCCCTTTATTAATCTGGGGTCGCCACATCGTAATAAACCGCCAACTTATCCAGCATAAGTTTTACACAGCAGATGCCCTTCCCGCTGCAATCACTGGGAAACACCCATACACTCTCATTCACACTCACACACTACAAAGAAATTTAGTTTACCCAATTCACCTATAGCACATTTCTTTGAACTGTGGTGGAAAATGGAGAACCCAGGGTTCACACGGAGACAACATGCAAACTCCCCACAGAAATTCCAACTGACCCAGCTAAGGCTCGAACCAGCAAGGTTCCTGCTGTGAGGTGACATCGCTACCCAAATAATTAAACTAAAATAATGTAATGGTGTCAATGTACTAATATTACTATAACCCTGTTTCAAAAAGTTTTACAATCAACATTTGAAGTGGATCAAACGCTTTCATGAAAGTTGCTCTAAAACACCTAAGAACACCTGTTCTTGTCTAAGAACAATTTGAAAAAAACTTCTTGATCCACTTCAAATGTTGAATACTATATAACATGAATTTATGTAAATATAGTGGTTAATAATCACGAGAACATTCATGCCCTTCCAGCTGCAACCCATCACTGTGAAACATCAATACACACTCATTCACGCACTTACATGGACAATTTAGCCTACCCAATTCACCTATACCACGTCTTTGGAGGAGACCCACGTGAACATGCAAACTCCACAAAGAAATGCCAACTACCCTAGCCAGGGCTCGAACCAGCAATCATCTTGCTGTGAGCCAATCGTGCTACCCACTGCGTCACCATGACTCAAAAAATCATTAAAAATCAAATTTTGAAACTAATATTAAAATCACAAATAATAACAAAGGAGAAAAAAAAACCTATACAAGTGGTAACTAATCTAAAAAACATAGTAAGTTACTATAACAAAATTATGCTAACCGCACACAGATAATATATTAAGCATTACCAAATGGTTAATAAATCATTTATTAAAAATTAATTACATGAATAGACTTTAGTAGCTAGTTTATAAATATACACTCAAAAAGCCAACAAAGCCACTTGCTCGATTTGCAAATAACAAATATGTCTTGTGGAAAAGAATGGAACGAGTTTAGTTCTGTTAATTGATTCATTCTAGTTGTTTGAAACTAAATGAAGAAATAATCAAATGAATTAGATGAGAACTTGTTGATTGAATGAAATTCATATGAACGACTTCACATGAGTTACTGTGCGCCTCCATCACAGTAGGTGGCGGTAAGCTGGTTCGATACCCACCAATAAAACAGCATACGAACAACAATTCACTGTGCATGCTTAGCTTAACAGACTGAATTTTATAAATATATGCACAACTTATTCTTGGCACAAGAAATTTCAAGACAAAAATGCACTTGCTTTTTCTTTTGCATGTCGACGATTTCATTTTTGCACTGTTCCCTTCAAACAAGCTAGGGCATGAACTTGAGCTAGAACAAGACTCATGTAGTGATTAAATAAAGAAGATGTACATTTTTAGCTGGACAGAAGCTGTTGTGGCCAGCGGTTATGACAGTATTCCTTTAAATGTGGTGTAGAGTTAGCTCAGATTGGAACATCTTTTATTGTAATTGGCATTTTATTAAATACCGTTATTTTCTTCTGGGTTACTATTTTACAGCTTTAAAAAAGTTATTTACAAATCCTCTTGTTATCATTTTATGTTTATTTGTGTTAATACATAAATTGTCTCACGCCATGGTTTAACTTAACTGCCAAAAAGATACTTTGAGACATACAGTATTGTGAGGATGTGAGGCAATATTGGTAATTTGGTGAAATCACAGCAGGTCGGCTGCAAGTTAAGAACTTCAATGCTGCCAACTAAGACAAATAATTGAAGAAACACAACAGATTTTAATATCCATACATGGACAAGACTAAAACTTGCTGATGTAACAAGGACGAATCTTGTTGAGTTGAAGGCTTTACTGACATTGAGTCAATAATACATTTAATCAGATAAACACAACACCAACATTTTAATTCAATTAGCTTCAAAGAAGTTGCATGTTGATTTGATTTTTTGATTTGACTTATTTATTTTCGAACAAAACTATCACACATAAAATATAAATAACAAAAGAAATGCATTTATTTTTTAAAAGTTTATATTGTGTTCATATGACACATTCAAAGCAGTTCAAGTTTACTTGATTAGTTTAGATGCACAATGGGTGCTACGATTAAATCATGTTGATTCAATAAATAATTTTTTGATTATAGCTACACACGTTATATTCTTGACCCATATAAGCACATTTATACTGTGCTCAATGATATTATTTTCATAAATAGTTAATAATTTATTTTTCATTACTAAATTAAGTATTGCATTATTTACAAGCCAGTTATTTTAAAGTAGCTGATGGTTTTTTGATCATTCTGATTGAGTAAGAGTATAAGCAAATAATTAATAAACTATTCAAACAAACATCAATGCATTATATTATTCAGGTATTAGTAATATGCATGTTAAGAAATGCTTTATTAACATAACTTAATGCAGTTTTATGACCTTATATAAAGGAGGGATTATTTATGCTTTGTAAATCCTTTAAAAAGGCTCAGTTATATACTATACAGAACAGAAAGGAAATGAAAAAAGACGAACGAGTGACTCATAACAAAAGACATTCATTTAGTGCTTCAAAATAAAAAAATACTTGAATGCTAAGTGTGGCAAAGATTATTAATTTATAAAAATTATTTTAAAATATTGGTGCGATAGCCCAGTGGTTGTGCCGACATGTGGTGCAGCAGCTCTCTGGGTGTCCCGAGTTCAAATCCTGGCTCGTGGACCTTTACTGATTCTACTCCCCTATCTCTCCCACTTCACTTCCTGTCAACCTGTACTGTCCTGTCAAATGAAGACAAAAAAAATCATTATTCTTATCATCATAGTAGTTGTCAGTGATGGAAAGAGCACAGAAAAAGCGTAAAAGTACCATTACTTGCCTAAAAATGTATAGTGCAAGTAGAGTAAAAGTATCTGTTGTAAATATTAAAACAGACATTTTAAAAGTACTCAAGAGTAGTCTACAGTGAGTATTACGCTTTAAAAAGCTGGTGAATTTACATGTTATTTGTAAAATGTGTGTAAACGTACAATCTGTAGTGCATTTAGTTATTGCCCAGCATGCACATGTCATAAGGCAATAATATTAGTTTAGATTTCGGTTGTGATGTCAGGTGACCAAAATTCAATGTATAGCCCGTGTCTTAGGACAACGTTATTTTGATGTACAATAACAACGTCAAATTACATTGATATTTGGTTGATTTTAGATTTTGTTAGAAAGTGACCAAAATTTAACATCTGAAACAAGCGTCATATTGATGTCAAATTCTGACATTTATTTATCAGGTATGGCAATTAAAATCCAACATTTGATAGATAGTGGTAACGTCCACACAACGGTAAGCTGTAAGATCATTAGACGTTGGTATTTGGTTGATTTTAGGTTGTACATTGATGTCAGCTAAACTGAACTGAACTTTAACGCTAAAAAACTGAACTACACTGTTACAATTTACAACAACCTTATGTGTGAAGCTGCTTTGACACAATCTACATTGAAAAAGCGCTATACAAATAAAGGTGAATTGAATTGAATTGAATGTTGGGTTCTAAAATGTCAACCAGATTTTCATTTCAAAACAAAAATGCAATGTCCCCACAAGGTTAGGGTACAACATCAATCTGACGTCATGATGATGCCTCGCGTCTGCTGAGTGTATGAGGTTATTTCGGCATATCATACAGTAAACATCTGTCATCTTCTCATCAGTGACATGCATTTAAACAGTCTCTGGGTCAATGCGTGTAGATATTGGACATTTTCTTGGACACTTTTAATGCTTCCAAACAGTTTACTGCAATTATAAATCGCCCATGTCTTGAAATAGTTAATTATGATGTGACTTACCTTTTATGTGCGATTTGATTGGACAAGAATCACAGGACTGATTTTTCTAATCGCCATAGACAGTAAAAATAAAGTAGTGATTGCAGGTGGAAGGAAAGTAGGGGAGTAAAAGTACCACTAAAATGCACTCA